ATTTGTTCCCTACCTACATTTCATTATACACTTATGATGTCAGAATTTTAATATCATACATATTTAGTTATTGATACATACACATACAACTATATTACTAGTAAATATTATACAATTTACGATAAATATGTTCGAATAATCATTAAGGCTTAAGCTTAATTATGCCATTAACAAAAATTGTAATAACAATTAATCTCAGTAGCGAACAAGACTTAGTTACGAAATGTGGTTTAGAAATAATTATTTTTATGTTTTAGTTGGAAAATATTTAAAGATATTTTATAATCAAATATTTATATTCCAAAATCTAAGATAAATTGAGAAGAGAGTAGAATCAACAAGAAATTCCAATGAATGTCTGTGGTTTCGAGGAACAGGCGATGGGAGCATACCTGGGGGATGCTGGCAGCAAGTTCAATGCACTCACGCCAATTAATTTTCCAAATTAAAATCGTTTGCCGCGTGTTTATTTACTTTCCGGATCCAGGGGTAAAAATAAATCAGCTAAATATGACCCTGCTATTACTCTCACCAAACGCAGAACCTCGTAAACAACACCAAGGAAACATGATGCCTAAAAAGGGGATTAAGAGCAGATGACGGAACACATAACTATGTTATATCCAGACAGCCCCAATTGATAAGGGATAAAATAAGACACGTTTCTTTATCAGTCAAGTCACATAAACAGACAATGAAGAAATTTTAAAATTGAATGGGTTCCATGAAAATTTATTACTTAATAAAAGACCCTCTGTCGTTCAGATAAATATACAAAGTAAATAATAATTCATTTTATATACTAAATAATGCTACTCAAATTGATTTGATTTTTTTCAAAGTGTACAGATTACAACACTTCCAAGTGCTTACTAAGTGAATATCCAATATACTATTCTATATTTTTTATTAACTCGCAAAATGTGGTTTATTTTTAGCTTCGCATATTTTTGTAACGTGTTTGTGTTTATATTAAAAATTTGTCGAACCAATTTTCAACGAATATTTCGCTAGCTTGCTAGTTTAATTTGCGCCTAGATAAGCAAACAACGCTCCCTTTGAGGAACGGAAAAGCGCGGCCGCTGTTCGCACGTGCTTCATCAACTGTGTATGCATTCCAACGTCGGCTTTTCGTTCTGCGAAACCGTGGGGGCGACAACAAATCAAACATTTTACCAATAACGAGAGAAAAAATATCTAAAGAAATCTCGAAACGAAAATAATTATCACTTTATCGGAAATCAAAGTGAAACGCTTATGCGTATTCAAAACTACGTTATACCTGCAAAATAAATACCGATTTTATTTTCCCTATCATTATGTTTGCAAGGAAATAAATTGCTGGTGCGATAATTAAAGGTTCTGTATAATATAAAATGTGCGCGCTTCGATTCGCGCCAATTTACGTCTATTTGCGCCGTTAATATGGTAATTTTACGAATTAGAGGAAATTGAATTCGCTTCAACAAATTACCTTAACTGTAGCAAAGATGAAGTCAGCAACTTATTCGTACTTTTAAATAACAATCACATGAATTAATCATTTTTTATTCAATGGTGCATTCTCTGTCAATAGATCAGTTTCTAAACATTCTCCATGTTCATAATTTGTAATTATGTTCTTCTTAAATATTTTTAAAGTCTCTAAATATAAACTCATTTCAACCTCAAAAAGCAAGATACATCTTGTAATTTTTGTTTCATACTTAAACAACACATACAGTGGATAGTACGTATTAATAAACCTACTTATTGATTATTAATTATTAAATTTGAGTTAGGAATATGTTCTGGTAATGAAGTAGTGAATATATTTGATGATTTTAAAAAAATATTCCTTACAAATTTTAGTAATAAGAATATTACTTAACTAAATATTTTATGATGCATATGATACAAATAGTTTTCGTGGATATTTAACATCTAACAAGTTTTTGGAACATATATATTTATCTTATAGTTACATAGTAATGATATAGTATTTACTTCTACTTGCTTGGCCAAATGTGCGTGTATACCTTGATACTCCATCATTGTAATTCCAGATAGAATACATTTTAATGCACTTATTAGCTAATTTATTGATGTGTACATACTATATAAGTCTATGTTGTATTACATAAGTGATGTCATACGTATGTGATTATTATCTGAAAAATGTCAAAGGTCGATAGAGTATTCTTTGCGTAAATTTTACTAATTGCGGTTTTGGGAAACTACGCATTTTATTTTTCATTATTCAATTAGTGACTTGCGTCGAAGTCAGATTGCTTTCTCCGAACAGAATCTGCAGATTGCTCTAATTTCATTAGTACACCGAATGAATGTGTTTTCAATTATAAAGCCTCTAATTCCATTAGTAGTTCCCTCTATGAAAATTGACGTCACAAAATTTCGTTATCATTCGAATACCATTTGTGTTGAATTGTTGTGCTTCACATACCCTCGGAAAGTTATGTTAAGCTCTGTGCTATTTATATATACATCCGATAAGTTCACTAGCATTAGCGCGTTTGTTTATATATGCGACGCGTACGATTTGATTATTACATGTAAATATTATTCGATTTATTTATAGTCATCTAACAACTGAGGAATTACCTTGAACTTTCATCACTGTTTCTCCCCTTCGATTTCTTATCATACGATTAGATAAATTTGGGGATATTTATTCGATAAATCTTATCTCGTTTTATTCTTTATTTGTTTATTTTGTTACTCTCTTCTCGATTACATGAATGCAAATAATGTCTCCCTTTTCACAATTCTTATTATTTTTCAATTGAATTCCATAGTCCATTCATGGCTTATGTATAAATATATTATAAAAAGAAAGGAAAGGAACGAAAGAGGTTCGAGAGCTGCTCGACTAGAAATCCGACAACGCAGCCAGGAAGACATAAATATTGTTTTCCAAAGCGAGAACTCTCTTCTTTATCCCGCGGCCTTTTACACATTTTTGTTCATTCACATGTCTTTCTTTTCCTATTCGTGTCTGTTTTCCTCAATCCTTGAACCCATAACTGTATTAACAAAGATTTTCTGGAAATTAACTCTTGGAACATGTTAAATTAGGTAAGGTTATATCGTGTTATGTTTAACTCGAGATTAGGTTTCAAATATCACATATTGTGTTTTTCATAAACATTAGTGCGTTTATTATTTCAATTAGTTTTGTGCACCAGAAAATATAATCGTCTACACATTTCAAGTACTTTTAGTCAATATTTAGTTTTAATCCTACTATGTAAACATTTTTCTGGTAGCTACCGCTGTTCAAATATATACAATCAAACATTTTATTTATATTTCAATCAGTAATGTGTAGCACATGTACATTTCTAATCTAGTCTTAATAGACATTTACGATTTGTGAACATATATTTTACAACTACACTTTATAAAACCATGTAAACTACAAGTATAAATAATTTAACAAAGCAACTCATAAGGATTACTAGAATTAAGAGTAATAAAATACATATAGAAATACGTTAGAAAATAACACTTATGATTTAATTTTAAGCGCCACAAAGAATTTAATAATATTATGTATAAGAAAGTATTTTATTGAGGAAATATATCTATCTTTTGACACTTTATATTTATTATCGTGGAAATATATTGCTCGGTCAGGTTAAAATTGTTCCGTAAAACCCTGCATCCTGTTTTATTTTTATTTCTTCGTGTACCTTTTGTTGGCACAATGTCTTGTTTTTATGGGCGGCAATGAAAAAGCAACTGACATAAAGAAAGAAACTTTGCTGTTGGCGCCGTCAGATGCTTTTCTTCTTTCATTGAATGTGTCTCATCGCAATGTACCATGACAAATCCACTTTTCTGGACTTTAGACTGAAATGGCGAAGAAAAAGAAAATTTGAAATGTCATGTATTTAGAAAGTTTTTCGCGAAACAATCTTCGCTAAAATTGTTATCTGTCAAGTGCAAGTAAGTACTTCAACATTTAAGAATCTTGTAACAACCACGTACATAAAAAACAAAGTGATTTTCTCTCTTTAATATGGTCAAATTAATCCAGTACCAAACGAAAATAGTATGTCTACATTGCAATTGGCAACAGCATGCGATTGACTCCATAATAAAGTATATTTTGTTTTGTGAACAATTTACATTTATTTATATTCGAAGCAGTAATCATTTCGATTTCGTGTGGGATTGATTTTATTTAGTCTCGCGGTTATCGTCTGAAAAAAAAATGCCCAAGATCTGGTTTGGGTGTAGTTGTGATATTGATATAGGCAAGTGCTCCTTTTTATGCACATGCACGAGTATGTGTGCGTGGAATGCCAGACTGTATAACTCACAACTTGCAGTGAATAACGAGAATATGACGAGGCAAGAACAAGTTACAACTTTATTCGAGTCGACCGATGCGGCCTGTTGCCCATTTTGTATGGTAATGCAAGAGTATTTTCGATAAAGTTTGATTTTCTTAATGAAAATAGAAAAACTCAATATAATTATCCGGATAAGAACATGCAAGTTTGTTGCTACGTTTTATTATATATCTGTCTCTTTTCATTCATTCCTTTGCCTTGATCACTTCCTTATCTTGCTTTACTTATCAAAGAAAATCTCACCAATGTACATTCCATCCTGTGATAAAATGTTGATTGACGAGAAACGGGTTCTCAAAAAAAAAACATGTTAATATTTATAAACAGTCTTTGCTCGAGTATTAATATCAATGATCTCCGCGTTCTTGAGTTGATGACAAAGTCACACATGTTTTGAAAATGATTTACCAAATTGTGTACACAATTTCAAAAATAAATCAATGGTTCGATTTATTTATCCTTATCCATAAATTTCAATCATTTTTTTTGGAATTATAAACAATCTATTTCTATACCATTTGATGTATTGAATATATTTTTATATAATCACACACAAGAAATCTATTTAAATTGTAATTTATTAATGTTAATATATATAAACTTCATAAATAATAAATTAATGTAATTTTCTTATGGTTCTAGGTTCGATATGCGATTTATCTTGCTGCGGACCGGAAGCAGAAGGATTGCTGAGCATGAAAAACCGGAATCAGGTAGAGAGATTCGCACGCGATTCGATTTCCCAAGTCGTCTCGTTGCTGCAGACAAGAAGCAGGAAGCTAGAGGAACTTTTCAAGGAAATGATGATAAAAAGCAAAAAGGAGTTCCATAGCATGTTCCAGCGTACATACGGCGTCATTTACTTAGAGAATTCGGCAGTGTTCTCAGACTTCTTCGTTGAGCTTGATCGTTACTATAATCATGGAGGAATCAGCCTGACGGAGACTATGGATCACTTCTTTACTATCCTTTACCAGAGGATGTTTAAAGTTATCAACGCACAATATAATTTCAATGAAGAGTATTTGGCATGCATTGCAAAAGATATATCGAATATGAAACCGTTTGGAGACGTTCCCGGCAAGCTGGCTGTATTGTTAAAGCGATCCTTTGTCGCGACGAGGATATTCCACAAAGCTTTAAACAAAGGCTCAGTCATCGCTGAAAGAATGCTGAAAATTAATATCTCAGAAGAGTGCGGTATGGAAATTACTAAGATGCACCACTGCGATTCTTGTACAAACAACGCAGGCCCAGGAGCTTGCAACGCTTACTGCACTGACACTCTCAAAAGTTGCCTCTATATGTTCGCGGAGCTGGACAAAAACTGGAACAAATATATTGGTAATAATATCAACAAATATATATCATTGAATTTATATTAACATTATTTTATGTTTTTTTTTTGTATTATAGATGGCTTAGATAAAGTCGCTGAAAAACTCTTGGGGCCTTTCAATATAGAAGTCGTTGTGGAACCGATCAATATCAAAATCTCAGAGGCAATTATGAATTTTCAGGAAAATGGCTCTGAGGTGAGTAACAAAGTGTTTGTGGAATGCGGAGAGCCCGATTTGAAGAAGAACCGGAAACGAAGGCAAGCCGAAAGCGAAGATCTCGAAGGGGAAGTCACTTACCAGCCCATAAAGTTTAATTCAAAGAAGAAGCACAAAAAGACAAATTCAATGATGAAGCAGTCGCCGATGGAGAAAAGGATTTCCGAAGTTAAACAAAAAGTCAAAGAAACGAGAAATTTTTGGAGTCACCTGCCATATCAATTTTGCAACAACATAACAACAGCTTCACCATCGGAGGAAGAAAGTTGCTGGAATGGTACCCATTTGGGAGCGTATTTTCCAAAAAAGCATGAGCCAGTATTCAATAAACCATCAGTACTCTTCGAGCAAATCTATGCGCTAGGTGTTGTGGAGAATAAGTTGCGAGCTGCCTACCAAGGACAAGATGAGGAGTTGATCGACGAAGATGAGGACGATGAACCAGATATAATCAGTGGATCGGCATCGGGCGATACTGGAACTGAAATCGATGACTTTGATATTGATCCAACAACAACGACAACCACCACGACGACAACTGAGCGTATATTAAGTAATGATATAAATAAAGATTTTGAAGATGAAGAGGAGAGAGTAGCCGCAGCGTCGGCTTCTGATCTTACCAAAGCCATGATACATTACATACTCCCAATTGTTATGGTTTGGTTTGGTGGCACGGTTGCTGATATTCTGTGATAAATTTAGTTAAAAAAAAACAAAGAAAAACGCAACAAATCTATCTTCTCTTTCAATTTCCCAAAGCCAATAACATCACTCATGTATGTGTGTATATGTATGCTGCAATTAAGTGAAAATTAGCAATAATATATTTGCATTCTTGCATTCTGGTGACTTCGTCTATATTTAATATTTTTAAGTTTGAAATTTCTTTATTTTCTTTTGTAATATTGACAGAACAACCTAGAATGAAACGCAGACTGATGTCATTTATTATTCGTGTAAATAATGTAAATAGAAATGTGTAGTCCCATTTATGTTTTATGTATATGCTTTAATCAATTCCCCGTTGTGTATGCTTGTGGATGAGTATGTCGCTACTCGTTTTCATTTCGCATTAATTTCTTTATTCAAATCTACGTTTATTTCTCATTAAATGTATTTTTAATTGTATTCTGTATCTGTAAACTATGTCAAGAGTGAAATGGGACATATTTTTGTCGTGAAAAATTGTAAATAATTTATAGTCTAAATAAATTGGATATATTAATAAAAAATCTGAGTTTTATTTTTAAATTATTATTATTATACTAAAAACAATATATAAGTTATGTCACGCCAAAAAGAAATCACACAAATATAGAATTATTAATTATTTCTTTATAATTTTACAGATTTAAAGAATAATCTTCTTATCACGTAATTAATTTAAAATTCTAAAATAAACGTTAGTGGTCTGGGATACGTCATTGTATGTCAGAGGTTGTTAATTTGTGTATGTTTTCAGTGTTATATGATAATAATAAATAGGTTATTATTTATATATAGAAGTGTTAGTAATAATTTAATACAGTTAGCCATCACTTTACGACGACTCAATTAACGCAGATTCACAATAACGCCGTGCGATTCCATATTTTTCACTAACGTAGATCGTACCCCAAACCTATATAGTACCTATTTACTTACATTATACTATCTTATAATATAAAGACATATACATTATTTATGAAGTAAAAAAAATATTATATATGTTTATACAATTGTGTAAGTTGTAGGATGTAGGCATTTGCTTTGTGGTTGCAATACATTTTGAACTTGTAAAAACCTGCACATAATAATATACCAGTATTATCTTGTTACAAGCATACGTGCAGTATCAGAGCTAAGATCTTAATAATTATAAAGATGTTCCAATATAAATAATACATTTACAAAAAATCAATATCAGGTAAGTAGGGGATCTACCCAAAACCGAAAAACATGACAAGGGGTCTACGACAAAAAAAAAGTTTGAGAACCTCTGATTTAAATGCAAAAAAATCAAATTCATTAAATATCCGATACCAGATAAATTAAAACAATGTTTCACAAGGAATTAATGTTCGATATGCAAACATTTTTTTTATGTATTAATATTGAACGGGAGGTTATTGCACTAAATGGAGGACAAGGATTTAAAAGATGCAATTGCAAAATTAAACGCCAATCAAAGAAATGCAAATTAGCCAAAGTTTTATGTGTTCAGTTATTACATCAGTTTATTTTAATTTTTGTTTTTGTATTAAGTTTAAGTTTTGGTAATTATGTGGACAGACTTGACTTTTTTAATTAAAAAATTATAATTTTGGGACAATTCAGTTACACATATCGCGGGACAGCACACCCCAAGCGAACTCGACTTCCACTGCATAAATTACTGGTAAATATTTTGTTGTATAATATATTTTTATATATATATTTATATATATATATGTATATATATATATATGTATTCCATGATAATAGAGTTTTAAGAATAAATGTTATAATTAATTATATATGTAAGCTTTATCATTATTTATTTATTGGAATTTTACTTCAATATTTTTTTCCGATGTCCTGTTTTTATGCTGTTCTCTTTTAGTACTATTTAAGCTTAATCATTTATTTATTGGAATTTTAATCAATATTTTTTTCCGATGTCCTCTTATAGTATTATTCTGTTTTATCACTGTTCGTTTTTTTTCGCTATTCCGACGTACTATTTTTATGCTGTTCTCTTTTAGTACTATTCTGTTTCATCACTCTTCATTATTCTCTGTTAATATTGTTCTTTTTTAGTACTATTCTATTTTATTGGAATTTTATGCAATATTTTTTTCCGATATCCTGTTCTTTTTTAGTACTATTCTATTTTGTCGCTGTTTTGTTTTGTCCTGTTCTCTTGTAAGACGTTCT